TTCTAAAGCAAGTTTAAATAGTATTACATTTGTAATAAATGTTCAAACACTTTTTCAAACTTTCAAAAGAATAAGAAGGTGAAAAACACATTAAAAGTCTTGAAATTTCTCTAAAGGATATGAAGATTTTGAAAAAATAGTTCTAGAATAATAAAAGCTGTTTTTCTTTGAAAAAATATTTTCATATCAAAAACATCCATTTCACATGATATGTATGACTAAAAAACAAGAATTGTTGCTCAAAATTTCAACGTCCTAAAATATGTTATAGGGATCAAAGCATATATATATATATATATATATATATATAACAAGAAACATTTACACTATATGCAATTATAAAATTCAAGATATAAGATCTAATTGTTTATCATATTAAGGATACTTCTCAATAAACAAGGCATCTAATCATTTAAGAACACTATCAACATGTATCACACAATCTATAAAATAAAGTGCCATAAAAAATTATGCATAGAGATACTTATCGAATTTGGTAGATTGTGATACCCTTGTTTATGGTAATCATTTGCTATTTGTGTTTTCTTCATTTGAGTTTTCCATTTGTTAGGATGTGAAGAAAATCTCATTTTGTTGCTCTTCACTCATCTATTTCTTTGGTCATAAATACTTGGCATTTTAATATTTGATCGCAACATTTAATTATCACAAGCAAAGTTAACTCTAAAGCTTTTCAAATCAAAGGATAACATTAGATATCATTTAAGCATATTTCCAAGCATAAATTAGGTTGATATACAAAATAAAGCACGTATCACATTATTAACCATAGAAAATGACAAACAAAACACATATACACTTGAATCTTAAAATATATTTTAATAATTGTTAATGCAAGATTCAAGATTAACAAGAAGTACATGACCATCATCAAAATATATTGAAGCATTTTGGGGCAAGCGATGATCATGTGAGGCATGTTATGTCAAGTAAGAAATTTGAAGCATAAACACACGTGAATCAAGAGATGATATTTCATCTCATAATGCAACACTTGAAAATCATAGAATTTTCACTTTAAATTACATTCTTCTTTTTTCAAAGATATGCGTATATCAAGCATTTTCAAACATAATGTGAGACATGTTATGTCAAGTAAGAAATTTGAAACATAAACACATGTGTATCAAGAGATGATATTTCCTTTCGTAATGCAATACTTGAAAATCATGGAATTTTCACTTCAAATTACATTCTTCTTTTTTCAAAGATATGCATACATTGAACATTTTCAAACATAATGTGGGCATGTTATGTCAAGTAAGGGATTTCAAACATAAACACATATGAATCAAGAGATAATATTTTCTTTCATAATGCAATACTTGAAAATCATGGAATTTTCACTTCAAATTACATTCTTCTCTTTTCAAAGACATGCATATATCGGGCATTTTCAAGCATAATGTGAGATATGTTATGTCAAGTAAGAAATTTGAAACATAAACACATGTGAATCAAGAGATAATATTTCCTTTCATAATGCAATAATTGAAAATCATGGAATTTTCACTTTAAATTACATTCTTCTTTTTCAAAGATGTGCATATATTGGGCATTTTCAAACAAGATATTTAATTATCCACTCTCAGTTAAACATGTAATACATTTAAACACAAAATAAAAAAGAAGTAAAATTATTTTATAATATGCTTATCCACATGTAAAAACAAAGGTATATTCATCAGGTCAAACTCAAGGAGTATGATAGTTATATGTTTTTTTTTTTTAACTTAAGAGCTACTTTAAAATTCAAATTATAAATAAGTAGGTTGGTAAAACAATTTATATAACTTCTCATTTTAATTGAAATTAGAGCTTATGCAAATTATTTTATGAAACAACCATAATTGATATATAATCAAAGCTCTATATTACTAAGGAAGCCTTATATAAACACAAATAAAATCACTCCTCATTGAGCCGATAGGGATGCTTATAAAAACACAAATATCTTTAAAAAAAGATAAATTATTAAAAAATGAAAAATACTTATTTAAAATAAAATACAATATGTTTATATATTAATATATTAACATAAGCCAAATGAAGGAGTGGGAAGATCTAAGATGTAGAATATTTGGATTCTTCTCAATCCACTCATTTGGTGCTTCATTGTGCAATATATAGAAGAATTATACGATATATATATATATATATATATATAGAGGATTGGATCCTTTGACATCATATCTTGATAGTTGATTTTCGCTAATCTAACGGTTATTAGTTATTAGAAATTAATAATTAATTATGATCTAATAAATTATAACCGTCAACTGGCGAAAATTAGCAGTTAAGATTTGGTGTCAAACTTTTTAGTTTGACACCAGTCTCAAATAATTTTTTTCGATATATATATATATATATATATAATATCCAAAAAGTCGTATGCTTCATAAGAAGCTTGTACAACTTGGGGAGGGCTTTTGATTGATCAAAAAGAAAAATCTACTTCAACCGATATGCTTTGAGGCATGGTCAAACATAACATAGAAACTAAATTCACAAAAGGTGAAAATTAGGTTAGAGCAATAGGCGCTATAGCAAAACTGATTGCAAAAAAAAAGGGAAATCGGTCATGTTAAAATTATTTTCTAGGGAGGTCTTTCTAAAAAAATGAAAAATACTTATTTATATTGAATACATTTAAAATAAGAAAAGAATATGTTTATATATTAATATATCAAGTTTGATTGTAGATGCCATTAGGTAAGTATATCAAGCCCCTTGTTATTGCAAATTAGTGAGCGAGACAAGATAGTAACAGCCTTGTCTCATGTTATTTCTTTCTCTTTATTCATGCTCACCCTCTCTCTAACCAAAGAAATCTTTAATCCTGATTAAGTTTTCCTCCTCTATTGTAGATGCCGTTAGGTAAGTATATCAAGTCCCATGTTATTGCAAATTAGTGAGCGAGACAAGATAGTAAAAGCCTTGTCTCATGTTATTTCTTTCTCTTTCTTAATACTCACCCTCTCTCTAACCAAAGAAATCTTTAATCCTAATTAAGCTTTCCTCCTCTCCCATCTTCAACTTAAATTTTGGGCAATATCGGATCCAATTGAAGCTCTAACACAAAAGGTCCTTTTCAAGATTTGAACTCCTATTTTTAGATAGTTCGTTAGTCCCGAGACTAAAATTGCCACTTGAGTAAGAGAGATAGTAAAAGCCTCGTCTCATTTTGACTTCTTTCTCTTCTTTCAGTCTCACCCTCTCTCTAGCCAAATAAACCTTTAATCATGATCAAGCTTTCCTCCTCTCCCATCTTTAACTTAATAGCCAAAGAAACCTTTAAATCTGATCAAGCTTTCCTCCTCTCCCATCTTCAACTTAAATTTCGGGCAAAATTGAATCCAAATCAAGCTCTTGCACCAAAGGTTATTAAAACCGAACAGGCCCGATTGGTTTTTGAAAATGCTATTTAACATTTTTTGCAGCAGATGGGATTCGGACTTGTACAATGAGAATGCCTAATATAACACTTACCACTAGGCTATGTTTAGTTGCTAGTTAAGATGCATCATTTAATATATTTATTATATAATTATATAATTTAATAGAATTATTTCACAAGTCGTAGCCAACAGGGGTCGAACCCTTGTCACATGTTGAAACAACCTAGTACTTAACACTAAACTACATTGGGATATTGAATAAAATGCACTATTTAAAATATTTATTATATAATTTATTATAAAATATAAATTTAATCTATTTGGGTCATGTGATTCAACCAATGATCTACTGGTTAAACCAATAATCCACTGGTTAACCTGATATCCCGACCGAAATAATGACTGATTCGAGTTTAATAATATTGAAAAAATAACTTAACCAGCCTCGCCCTCAATATGTTTGTTCGAAATGAATCAGATTTCATTAAAAGGAACTAAAAAATCTATATGTGATGCAATGCTGACAAAGATTTCATATTTTAATTTATGTTGAAGATTACAGGAGAGAAGCTTGACCGGGATTGAATGGCTATTCATTTAGGGTGAGGTATTTTTTCTCGAGAAAAGGTGAGACTAAAGAAAGAGAAAGAAAACAATAAAATGAGACAAAATTATTCCTTTATCCAACTCAATGATTGGGCACAGCTAAAATATCTTAATTTAAAATTGATATAATGATTAACAAAAAAATAATAATAGAATATGATATACTTACATGATGATAAGTATAACCCAACTTTTATTAAAAGTATATTTTGAAGTTAGTATATAATAACTAAAATTGATATAATGATTAACAAAAAAATAATAATAAAATATGATATACTTACATGATGATAAGTATAACCCAACTTTTATTAAAAGTATATTTTTAAGTTAGTATATAATAACTTTATAAAAAATTTAATGATTCATTTCTAATATTCTATTTACTTATTAATTTAAGATTTTATTACATCATTAATATGTATATTAAAAGAACAATATTTACAATACTAAAATACAATTTTTAAAACCTTAGCTCATAAAATAATAGCAAAATGATAAGGTAAAAATTATATTTACAAACTTTTTGTTTGCAAACTCAAGAGTGTATGAACGGTCATACTTAGTGTAATTTATAAAAAAAAATTGTAAACAAATCATTCCCCAAATGATAAAGGGCAAAGGATAAACCTTGATATAAGACTCTCCAACTTGCAAGAATATTGATGAAGATCAATTGTATACAACGTTACCCTTGCAATTTTATATTTGTGTTGACGAAACTAAGACGAATCCAAACATATAATATTACAATTTGAAAAATGAAATATAACGAAGTGTACCCAGTAAATACCTTTACCCAAGGTGTATTAGTAGTTAGTACCAACTATATGTACCTGTATGGCAATAATTTAACACAATACATTACAAAGCTGCACTATTGACATGGCCATAGAGATAAAACAAAATTAAACATGTTTTTCCATTCATTTAACCAAAATAAATCTTACAAATACAAGTAAAACTAGAGCATGATTAATGTGCCGCACTTTATAAGATACAAAGCTTTCATCCATTTATCAAAGAGTAATGCATATAAAAAAAAACTGCTTTTTTTCCCCATAGGAACCACCTCATTTAACACTAAGTTATAAACTACAACTACCAAAAAAATGGGGAGGCAGAAAAGAAAGTAAAAGAATACACATGATACAACAATTGCACAAATCCCAGGTACCGGTCTAAGATGAACCCAACCCCAACCCTCATTTTACAGTACAATCAGGATTTGCACAAATACAAGGATTGTTTTCAGTACTTTGAACAACAATCTTTTAGGTTTCTGTTATACAGTTTGTCAATGGAAAACAAAGTAACTTTATAGTGCCTTCAATTAGTAAGACTTATGTTGATCTATCCCACTTCATATTCTGTTGGTCAGAGCCTCAGCAACTACAAGAATTATGCACATGCAATGAAAGAATAATGACTCTAATTTTCAGTTCATTTCACCTGCACACCTGAACAACACAGGTATTAGCAATCTTATTTTCCCTATTTTCTAAATTTCCAATACTTACTAATAACAACAACTAATTAAGAATATGCCTGGTTACACATTTAACAGAAGATAAATGGAACAATATAATAGTCTCCATAAGAATGAATCTATATGAGAAAATGACAATGAAGTACGTTTAAATAGACTGGACCAAGAGTAAATTAAGAAGGAAAAAACTTCTTTTACAACTGAATAATCAAAATATTCAAAGCTAATTATCTGAAAATAACATACAACCATGACTAAAGTTAAGTAAAAGCCCCTTTTATGCCTTTCCCTATTAAAAATAAAAATAATGCATGGGAGAAATTTAAAGTCTAATGCAAACAAAAAGTGGCTAAACAGAATAATTGAGATTGATAAAGAGAAACCCTTCATCTCAATTTGATTATCAAATAATAGAAAACTCAACAACCAACATATAGAATCTTAAACACTGTCTTATACGGTGCCAAATAACAACCCTAAAATACAATTAAATTTTAAAAAACACAAAATTACGATATTGCCATTAGAAATAAGAATAAACCTAAAAAAACCCTAAAATAATGAACATGTGCAAGACGCACGCACGATTCTATACCAATTCTAGCAGTGTATACAACTGCTTAACAAAAATCCTTCAGAGAGCAATCAAGAAAGGGGAGATCAGAAAACTCATCATTTATACACCGTGACAGAGTTAGAGTCAAACACATTGAACGAGGTGCTAGTCTAGTACCCTAATCAGCACATACTATTAGAAGGCAAGCTAAATTATTTCACCATTTTCAAGCCAATAAATCAAATGGAAGTGTAGCAATTTGGAGAGAGATCTATTAAGTTATAACATTTAACAAGGTCATAAGATAGATGCAAAGGAAATACTCACACGGAAGTAATTTATACCCAACAGTTGCATCACAATCTCACAAGTTCCCAGTCTTCTTTTGACATATCATAAATTTCAACACAACCATCCTCAAACATGATCTGCAAACATAAATTTCATATTCATATTTGATCCCAATTCTAATCTAAATTATGAAAGTTCAACCAAAGAATCTCTTACTGAGTGTTTTTGAGAATATTTATCAAACCATTTAATAATCCCAAACCTGTAGCATTATAAGAACAAAAAAGATTAACATTCAACTCTAGGTGTTATATGAAATTAACATAGAAAAAATATAAATACAAATATAAATAGAAAAGAAAGAAAAGAAAACCACTCTCCGTTAAATCCAACTAGCGAGCGTGGGGGGGAGGAAATCCTTGTACGCAGCCTTACCTTTGCATAATTGCAAAGAGGCTGTTTCCTGGATTCAAACCCATGACCTTTCAGTCATGAAAGAACAGTTTTACTCCGATTTGCCCCCTTAAAGATAGAGTTATCACAATTAAAAAATATACAATTTTAATATACCTCACATTTCCATGTTGTTTTAACCTAATAACTTCACCAATGCAATTGTGTAAGCACTTTGATTGGTCAACAACACGAGAATTTCCTGAAAAATCAAGTACAGCATAAAAATGGATGATTTACAATATAGAAGATGAAACTAAAAGAGGAAATGAAATGATAGCAAATTTTAAAGCATGTTTTCAATCAGATGAAAAATCAAACATATAGCTAACAAAATGACGAAACAAACTTACCAATTTGCAAACCTCCATTCTGATAAACCTTGACAGACAAAAGACCAACAATTAGTCAACAAGACAGATCTTTATAATTTAATATAGATGTAGTACATAATAAACTCAATAAAAGTGATTATGCTGACGGATTGATTGTATGGAATGAGAATGAGAAAGAAAGTGAAAGAGCAAAATGTTTTGTAGCACCATAGTCGTTAGAATCTTATGATTCGAGATTCGAATCTGACAATTTTACACGATTCAGCAAGCCAATGATTCATATCATGTGATGAATTAGATATGACTTTCAATCGTGTGATATATGCATGAGTCGATACAATTCCTTATCATTGATACAAATTGCACAATTCAATGATTTTATTAATTTATTTTCTTTTTTACTTTCCCCTTACATCAATTCTCATAATAGAAATTGAAATTTAAGCTTAAATTGTTAAATGAGAAGGAACCAGCACAGCACTACTGAAAACACCTTATTTAATTATTCTATTTCTCTGTTTTCATAATTCTAAAACAGGGGATTCACCTATCACACTATGCATCCTATGTGGCTATTCTACCGCTCTTCTCATTTGTTCACTCAACATACACCATAATTGGTTATATGATTGCTCTACATTCATCCTTCCAAAACATAGGCTTGATGCAATCATTCTAGGTGACTCAGTTATGACATATGACTTGTAATTTTGTTTTGTGAGAGTTATGTTTAAATTGTTTTGTTGTCTTAATTTAAAATTATTACATTGAGCATTATACATCATTTATATGATATACTTTAAGCTATTTTTCATGGTTCTTTGAATCTTACGATTTGATATGACTCACGATTCAGGATTCAAAAATTAATTTGGTTATTCACAACTTTAATTGCGATTTAATAGCCTGGCGTAGCACCTTTAAAACAAGAATGTCCATTTCATCAAATAAAGGAATTCCCTCCAAAAAGGAATAGTGTATCTCCCAATGAATTCTCTTCGAATCATTCTAATTGTTATTTCCCCTTTTATATCTTTTCAAGCCACAAAGTTTCACCAAAATCTCAATTCAATCATGTTTGCTCCTTAATGTCCTAGAGTAAAGCTCTTCCCTCATCCACCCTATACTGCAAGCAACAAAAATTAGCCCTCACAACCAGAGGAACATTCATTATCTCAGGTGTCTTTGTAGGACAATCTATTGATCATCTAGAACTATCTTCAGGACAGTTTGCTACACATCATCACATCACTTATGGCATTTCAGGCTGTCTATTTTTTTATTTTCTCTCCCCCTTGTCAAAATTGGGTCAATATGATAAATTTCTATATTTGTTAAGAGATATAAAATCATCTATGGACCTTCACCCAATAACTCAGGCTAGGGATGGCAAAAACGAGCCAACCCGTCGGGTTGGCTTGTAACCCGCACAAAACGAGCCAGGTTGGGTTGGCAAAAATGAGCTGCCAACCCGAACCCGAACGAGCCAACCCGCGGGTTAAACGGGCTGGTTCGCGGGTTGCCTTTTTTTTTTAATTAAAAAAATAAAAAATGACAAGTAGAGGAGTCACGCAGACAGAAACACATTAACACATCACACAGACCCATCCTAACGACCCAGCCCTAGGTCCCCCACCCTGCCACCGTTCTCTCTTCCTTCTACCGACCCACCGACGGCGCCGATTTCCTTCCACCGTTCTCTCTTCCTTCCACCATCAGTTCCCTACTTCCACCGACCCACCGACGGCGCCGATTTTCCTTTCAGAATCGGAAAGGGTTTGCCACTTTATACAAGCTGGAGTTCGGGTCTTATAATTACTGATTAACTGGATCTGGAGCATTTGGTTCTGCTTTTCTCGTTCTTCACAAGTCTGATTGTTGGAGTTGAAGCCTATAAAATTTGATAGCTTTTAGCTTTCCAACTTCAATTATTTCCTCTTCTATGAACTGCTAAACCGTGCATCATGAAGGATTGGTGATTGATTATTTTTTTCCATTAAATAATGGACAACCCAACAAAGAAAGTTTCAATTTTTTTTTTAATTTTTTGTTTCTATTTTGAGATTTTCGTGTTTAATTGTTGGAATTGAAAACCCAGCAAATTCAATAGAGCTAGCTTGTCAACTTCAATTTTTATTACTTTTCATGATGTCATCTCTGGTAGGTATGTGTTGAAAAAGATTCGCTTGGCCAAGCAGACAGAGAAGTTCAAACGTACAGCACACCAAGAGGTTGGTGTAACAACCCGCGAGCCAAAAACTAGCCAACCCGCAAGCATTATTGCAAGTTTTTTTCGAGCCAACCCTAACCCGGCTCGGGTCGGGTTAGGTAGGGTTTTCAGGCTCGATTTTTTTTTCGAGCCAACCCTAACCCGACTCGATTTTTTCGGGCCAAATGCAGGTTGGGCCGGGTTGGCTCGTTTTGCCAACCCTAACTCAGGCTTTTAGGAGTTGGTCTTTGGAAATGCATTACAACCTATGACTAAGTCGTCAAGAAATCGATCATTGCTGCTCTCATTCTTCATACTTAAGTTAAATTTCTGCACAAGTTAGGCATGTGCAATGTCCGTGCTACAAGCCCAACGGAATCTTGCATGAAGGGACATGTTCGACATACAAAATCATTCATAGACCGGTAATTAATGGCTTGCGAAAATTACAAAAAGAATTCCTCATTAAAATATTCCAAATTTAGAATAATAAACACCCACATAGCTAAGTAAGTCAATTTGGTTACTCATTAAACATGATGCAAACATGAAAACCATTTGAAATTTTATTTTTCCTAAAATATGTATGTTTTTATCAAGAATTTCGCATTCATAATTGTTCCAAATAAATATATTCAACCTACGATCAGCTACATTTTCATTTTATGGCTGCGTCTATATTTACGGTAATTCATTTGAATTATACGGAGTATAAAATATATAACAATTTTTTTTTAGAAAAAGAATCAATTTCTAAAGCCAACACAGAACTGTTGAAGTGTTAATAGTTTTTTTACCCATTCCATTTTTCTCTTAATTTGGCATACCAAACATAGGAATAAAATGAAAATGTCACTCATTTCTTAACCATACAAACATGCCAAGCGAATGATTATTCCATTTCTTTCCCATTTCATCCCCAATGGGAATTAGTCCAGCAATCAAACAGACAGAATTGAAAAAGAGAATAACTGAATGCAAATGATCACAAAATTAAAGTGTAATATACTAGTTTCATCAAAGTCCACATGTCAATGTTAGAGGAATTCATAGAGAAGCAAATACTAAAAATAAAGGTAAATCCAGACATTCAGAAGTATAAGTTAATATAAAATAAAAGGATTACAGTATTCCATTGAACATTTAGGGTATGTTTGGGACAAAGGGCTTTAGATGGAAATGGAATGGAAGGCAAATTTTTCGTATTCTACAATTTAAGAACTTTTTCAAATAAAAGGAATAAAATGATTGATTATCACGAAACCTTCCAATCATCCCTTATTCATTTTTATAAACAACCTAAAACCCCAAGCACCTCCTGTTGGATATTGAAATGGCCAGACTGTTGAAATCAATCCTTGCCCTTACTATTTAATCACAACATTTAGGGGGCTTGCCCGGTTGTCAAACCAGGCAACCTTATCATTGTGCCAAGCTTAGCCTCTTAAAAGTATAAGTCTACAGATTTATTCATTTGATAGGTTACAACTTACAAACAGGAATGGATCCTCTCATGAGTTATTTAACATAACCATGTCATGGCGGATACTAACCATTAATAAACAAATCAATGGTGATGAGAGATGAAAGAGAAAAATATTACAATAGGGAATAACAAAATCATTTTCATTGATCTGTTCATGAATGGTTAGGATCCTCTCACATGATATGGTAATTTTAAATAACACATAAAATTATCTACTCCCATTACGAACATAATTTGGTTTGTATTAAGCAATTCATAACCAATTATCCGAGTTCAAAATCCTTTGACAAATGTTTCAAACATTTTGTAATGAGTTTCACCCATTAAGACCAACTCTTTAGATTGAAAAAAAAATTGAAAATAAGTTCCACTTTGGCGCCTGATTTTAAGCATCATTTTTTACAACTTGACCTCGGAATAAACACTGTTGAAAACACAGTAAGAACTAACCACAACAAGTGCGGTTATTCTACTGTAAAGAGTGTGCTATTATGTTTATATTCCTCTAACCTCACATCTTTTTAGCGAAATAACCACTATCTACAGGAGGTTGTTCTTCTGCGAAATAGTTAATTTTGAATGTACATACAACACCAAAATGGAATATGGTGCCTAATATGGAACCTGCTAATAGTTCTCCCAAAAAATAAAAAAAGGGAATTGATATGCATCCAGAAGCAAGTACACCTGAAAAGATAAAATATGGATACAACGGAAAAATTGGTGTAAAGAACCCATTCAACCCAAAAGCTTAAGCTATAAGGTGAGGGCACGCCCCCTCACAAGAGAGTCCATTAGGCTTAAAAGGTGGATGATGCATCAGGTCGAGCCTACCTGTGCTAAGAAATTCCACAAGAGAAAGTGGGGGCGGTGAAGATCGAACTCAAGACACGAGGCTCTGATAATATGTAAAGAACCAATTCAACCTAAAAGCTTAAACTTTAAGGTGAGGGCCTCTTTAATAGTTTATATTATACTCTAACAATCGGTATATCAGAGCTTCTTGGGTTGTATGATTCTAGAAAAGTGGTATCCTACCAACCAATTGACTATCCCTCAAAAAGTATTTCACAAATCAAAGGCAATACAAGCAAAGCTAGTTACCACTGATTATTAAAATTCGCAACTTACTAGAGTAATCTAAACTGATATATTTACACCCTACAACAGTCTGATTAAGTTAAAATATTACAAAATTATAGACATTGAAAATGGAATTTTAGTTTAGAGCAGAAAAGGCTTTTTCTTTTGTCTTCACTAATCAATGTATTTGTTAAGAACCTTGAAGTCACCACCCCAAAAGCTAGCTCAAAGGGTGGAAGTGCTCAAGGCCTTATAAACTCCACATTAATTGCACATACAACCAATGTGGGACTATCTATCTCAACACGCCCCCTCACACGAGAGCCCTTTGGGCTTGAAGGGTGAACAATGCAACAGGCCCAGCCTACCTGTGCTAAGAAACACCACAAGAGAAAGTGGGGGGCGGCGAGACTCTGATACCATGTTAAGAACCTTGAGGTCACCACCCCAAAAGCTAGCTCAAAGGTTGGGAGTGCCCAAGGCCTTATAAACTCCACATTAGTTGCACATACAACCAATGTGGGACTATCTATCTCAACAGTATTTACAATCCTCAATTATACTCAAAAACCATTCAGCAAATACATGAGGATAGTGACACCTCCATTGCTAAAGTCCAAAAAAATCATGATGAAAAAATAAGTTAATGAAAACACAAAGTAGATGCATTTCATAATCACAAATCTAATGAAAATTTGACTAAGTATAAATGTATTTATTAACCAATTCAAAAGCATAAGCTCACAGCAAAGTTTTGAAATACTGGAAAGACACCGAAATTCAGTTTGGTTTAGTACTTTGATATTTTTGAACAGTCCATAGAGAATTCGAGTCATATATCTACTCTGGATATAATTGCTATTTAAGAGAAGATGAAGCCACCTGATATGCAACTAATTTTAACGCAGCATCTGAAGACTTAGGCTTGGTAGGTCGCACACCCAGCTTACGCCTACACTCGACAGCACCACAGTGGCAATCTTGATCTGCACCAAATTGAACAAACCTGCTATATAGTTAGAAACTCAGAATACACCATAACTGTCATTACTAGCATCATTTTGGAGACACCAAAGACCCCAAAACTTTCCAGAGGCATATCTATTAATATAGAAGATATAGTTCAATTATAAGGGTGTAATAAAAGAAATAGGCAAGTGAAGTGCTCATACTGGTAATCATAAGTCAGATGCTCGCCCTTTTGTATGTCACGAGTTGCAAATATGCCAATTCTGGTTTCACCATCAATTATCCTTAAGATGGGGAAAAAAAGAAAAAGGCACTTGTTAGTCGAAGTGCCTACCTACTCTATCAAATAATGTTGGATAAAATAACAAATATCACTCCAAGATCATATGAATAAAACAATTAGTAGTCAACCATTTCTGCATCTCAGTATTGGGGCAGCAACTATGATTGATATATCTTGATTTGTTTCCCTTATATGTAGCATCTATCACCATATCTCGATTGATTTCACATAAGTAAAAGTTAGTTTCCCCACGACGTTTCATATCCCAAAGCCTATCTTCACATGTTTGGTCATTGATGACTATAGAAAGAGCGAACATTCATAAGTAGGTTTTAAAAGAATAAAAAAAAAAAAGAACAAAAAAAAGCTCATTTTATAGATGTAGATAGGAAAAACAATTATCTCACCTTCTCCAACATATTCAATAACAAATTCCCCAAGCTTGATATCTTCATCCGCCACAATTCCAGAACCACATTTCTCAGTCTACAAGAAATACATTAAAACTCAGTATGTTAAGTGTAGATATTACGAGAGAAATGCAAGTGATTATATGATTTCAAAAAACCTAGATAGAATATCAGCATAGATCTGTATATGTGTACAAAAATAAGGTCTGGGAATTGGGATGATAGAGAAGTGCTGCTGATAATGGGGAGGAAAATCAGGAAAGTGGATTCAGAAAGGAATATAATAATCAATTTTATTGAATTTACCTTTATATCCATATAGTTTTTAGAATAAACCCTTAATTTGGTCCTCCAAAGATCGGAGTGTTGCCACATTAGTACTCCAAGATTTTTATCACCAAATTAGTCCTTCAAAGATTAAAGTGTCATTCATTGTATTAGTTTTCCAAAAACAAATTCACCAAATTAGTCCCTCATAGGTACAAAATTGTCACCAAATTTGTCCTTTTATGTCACCACTTTAGTCTTCCATTGGTGATGATTATGTATATTTACTAATTTGGTGAAAAATTCTTTGCATGACTAAGATGGTGATACTTTAATCTTTGAGGAACTAATTTAATGACAACAATCTTTGAAGGACTAATGTGACGACACCTTAATCTTTGAAAGACCAAATTGAGAGTTTACTCCAGTTTCAATGAGTTAGTTTAACAAAAATGAATAGAATAAGGATAAAGGAACTTTCAGGACAAAAAGAAGGCAGGTACCTCCTGTAATAGTAAAGATATGCATTGCAATATGAACACAAATTTAAGATGGAGCACATGAAGAGTACCCAAATTGGATGACCATGCCCAATACAGTGTACAAGCAAAACCAAGCTAACATTTCAAATGTCTCTAAATAGAATCCTTATTTTGGAAGAGAAAATACTGAAAGAAACTTATATTATAAAAAAAACCCAATTATACCTTAACCAATTTCATCTTTTTCGCTGGACGATGCTGAAATGGTTTGTTAAGACAGGAGCTCCCACATTTACAGCCTGAAGAACAGCTAGACAGAAGCATCCTATAGGGAATGTCAACATAATGAATGAATAATAGGACTGCAGATTTATGTAGATATATTTGCATCGGTAATATACCGTAAAAAAGCGGAGCCTTTGTGTGCTAAATAAAACAAACAAAATCTATACTAGATGCAGCAGCAAATTCTAGAAAAAATAACTTTTCATTTTAAACATAATAGCACTGCACCAGGGCTAATCACCAGTATGATAGCCCAAGGAAATAGCTCTTTCAGCCAGGGAACAAGTTTTCATAGTATATTTTTAAATTTATGGAACCAAATCAATCAAAGCCACACCACCCTATTTTTTTCTGTTTTTGGGGGCTTTAAAGAATGTGACATGATTTCTATGCCATACTCAGCTTGAGAAAAATTCTTGCTCAGGGTTCAGGTCAGTCAACAATGAGAATAATAACAATGTCAATAATAATGATAATGATGAATTGTATCTGATATTATTCTAATATCAGAATTAGCATATGCTTAAGCAATCCCAACTTAATCCACTTCTATATAGCCCATATGCTTAAGCAATCCCAACTTAATCCACTTCTATATAGCCCACACAGACACAAAAAGTAATATATTTCTGAATTAGCATATGCTTAAGCAATCCCAACTTAATACACTACTATATAGCCCATTGAAACACAAACACTCACACAGATTCACAGACACAAAAAGTAATATATTTCTGAAAAATGGTGATTTTGGATGGTTGCCTGCTGATGATAAAATTTATAACCAAAGTAAATGAAGATAGATTCAGGAACATTACTAACAATGGAGTAGGCATGTACTAGAAATGAGCATAAACACATGAAAAAATGCCATAAGGTACACGCATATGGAATACTTACCCACAGTGGCAATCTCTACCACATACGCTAGTAGATCCAGTTGAAGGAGTACAGGAACAGAAAATGCCATCATCATCAAACCGTCTCTTGACCTTCTTAGTGACATATATATCTAAAATTCATAAGAATCAACAAAAGAAGATTATCTAAAACTACAGGACAGCTAAAAAGACACACCAAGCATAACAGGATCAAATACTTCAGAAGAACAAGGAAATTACAAACTGAAGATTGCAGATTTGTTGGGTCAACATACATAAAGACAGTCATAAAGAAAAGGCTACACTGCACTACATGAGATATACAGTTATTGTTAACATTACTGAACAACATGTATAAAGGATACTGCGTTTTATATAGGTGTACGTTGGCTTTGACTTCGACTTATTAAACCAATCTGGAAGTTCAAAGTCAACAGGTTCCCCAAGCTCCATGACCAACTTGTTGAATACAGATCCAAAACGATCCTGCTCAGAATTCTGTCCAACAGAAAAGGCAAGGAATTCACTCAACAGCCCAAACGCAATTTAAAAAGAGGAATTCTCATTGAATAGGATTCTCATAAGCATGATAGAAAAAGACTACTATAACATATTTTCAAAAAAGTTAAATTTATTAGGAAACCCTATCAAAACAAAAATATATTGTTTAATTAAAAAGGTCATCTTTAAAAGAAACTTAACAAGATATAAACAGCAAGATGAAAGAGATTGAAGTAGTAGCTACTTTGTATATTAACTTCAGTTGAAAACAGTTGCCACAAGAGTACAATGCTTAATTATATTTATATAGGGCAAGCCCCGTTGCACAAGGCTACCCCCAACTTTGCGAGGATATGGGTGAGGGTGATTGTACACAGTCATGCCCTTGTATTTCTACAAAGAGAATATTTCCCAAACTCAAACCTGTGACCTTTCAATCACAAAAGAGCAACTTTACCACTCCTTCAAGGGTCACAACCCGGTGCTGTAATTCTGGAAAAAAAAAAATTAATTCCCATGTGTCACAGACTAAGATCAAGTTCTTAAAGAGACAGAAAAGGGTTCATAAATTTCAATAGTGACCTAATTTAAATTCAAAAGAAAAGGAGAAGCCTAAAAAAATGTTTTACTCTTTTACCAATAGTTGACTTTACAGATAATAAATATGCATACGGGAATTAATAGTAAATTCTTCCAAACTAACTTCTTCCAAACTAACTTCTCAGCACTTTGCCAGGGGAATAGTATAATTCAAATAAACTCTCTCAAATAAATCCAAATATGACAGATTGCATTGCATGATTTTAAAGAATTACAGAAAAGGACTAATCAAATGTATTACAACACCAAACAACCTTTTTCATGGCAGGCATGGAATCTGATAGAGTACTGGATATTCCTATGTGATCAGCATGGTTCTCAGTTTCTCAAAAGAGGCTCAAACAAAAAACTGGATATTGAAAATCAATCCCACAAAACTGATATACAAGACTTACTTGATTTCTTCAAAGGCATATTTTGCCTGCAACATGAAAAACAATTTGTCAGCTTTATGTAAAGTAATTAAAGGCATCAAAATTTATCTTTATGTTGAGGTTTAAATAAAAAATATGCATAAACGGATTTTTCTTACACATGTTCATGCGACGGCAGACGATAATATGACTGTGAGCAGAAGAAAGATGTTTCAAAACTTGTTCCTTCTTCTAGACTGTCAAACAAGTCAGAATAAAGAAACTGAAGAGGACAATCCAAAATGGATGGTTCAATAACAAATATGAAAATAAAATTTAATAAACATATAAAACCAATATACATATACAAACATCTAAAACAGATTCCTAACAATCCCATACAGTCCTACACCCAGCACCAACTTTTTTTTATTGAGAGCCATAATGTTTTATTTCGTCTCTCATCTTTAATCTATCAAAGGGAACTCTTGGTGTCACAAGAAATAATTTAAAATGACAGTAAATTGTTAAACTGGTCTCAAGTCTCAGCCATCCCATCTCATTTCTCTGGAAGTATTTATAACTGGTGATAACCACTCTTTATCTGTTACTCGATTTTAAAATCTTGAATGTAGAAGCAGTTGCCACTCTCACCATGGCATTTGACAATTCATACTCTTAAAAAACCAATTGCTTCAATATACACCATTATTCCCACACACAAAAATAAAACAAACAATGTTTGTCTCACTTTAAAGTTCAATTCTTTCACCTTCTGTTGGCATGGAAGGAAAAGAAAATGGAAGAGGAAACAAAGTTCAGAAATTTTAAAAATGAGATCAACTAATATGAAATCCTACATACATAACATGAAAATTCTACATTTCCGTTCACCCAAACAAGAGATGATTTATCAAAGAAAAAATAAAATAAAATTAACTAAACAATTGAAAAATTCAAACTTTTCGTTTCCCCCGTTTTCATTCCCTGGACAGAAACACAACACAGTGCGAGATAACCACTGAAGGGACTAGAATTATATATTAAAACAGAAAAGAAAGAAAGAAAGATGGTCACGCACACTCACACACAGCATTAGTAAAAATTCAATTTTGACGAAAACCCACGAAAGATTGTCGTAAATGGTAGAGGGAACAGTAAAGAAACTTGAAAATCACAAAAGGGTTGGAATGGAATCAGCAAGAATCCAAAAGGGAATTGTAGAATCAGAACAAGTACACTGAAACACAAGGGCAAAATGGGAATATACAAAATCCAAAGAGAGAGAACCTGGAATGGTGTTAGAGAAGAAGTGAAAGTGAGTATCTGGAAATGAAATGGACTTGGTTTTTGTACGTAATTATATCAACCAACTCAAACTGACTTGTTGATTCGCTATGATGCCTTCAAAGTACAAACCTCAAACACCATCACACAAAAAAAAAATAGGGTTTTTTTTTTTTTCAACCCCTAAATACAACTTTGGAAGAGTAAATTGAATTGAACGGTTAGAAATTTTAAAATAAAATAAAATAAAAAGATTGTTAGGTGTCATAGAAGGAAAATAATAAAAGGAATTTAATTAAATGTTTTTGTTTATAAGGAAATGACAGATAATTTAATATTCTTCTGCTTTTTTAATTTCAAAATCTTTCTCTTTCTGGTAACTGTAATTCCTAATCTGCAAACGGGGTACCAAAAAGTCTTCCCCACCATTTATTTATGGGTTTGATGATTGTTATTTTAAATAACATAACTTATGTCATTTTAAGAGAGAGATTGACACAAGAAATAAAAATCATGAGGAGAAAATGGATGATTTTTTTTAATTTAAATTTTAAATAAGTTTTTTTATTTTGTGTCTATCTCTCACTTAAAATGACATAACTTTATATCATTTAAACTGACAAATATTTTTCCCTTAATTTAAAGGGAAATTATATTTTTCTGTAATAGAAAAATTGATCTCTTATGCAATAGATACATTTTTTTCAAGTGAGTCCTAGTAGTTAATAAATTAAAAAGAAAAAACCATTAACACGATTTCCCATGGATGTGCATGAAAATTTGATATCTTCTACTGCCGAAGAAAAGACAGCCTCTTTATTTATTGAGTAAATATCATTTTTAGTCCTTAACAAAATAATATGATCCTCATTTTAGTTCCTTACAAAAATAAATTAGTCAGTTAGTCCCTAACAAATTTAAAGTGAACCTATTTAGTTGAAATTGCGGTCTCTCACAAATTCAAAAAAGACTCATATTAGTCCCTCAAAAGGACTAAAATGGGTTCACCTTGAATTTGTTGGGGACTAACTGACTAATTTAATTTTGTAAGAGACTAAAGTGTAAACCGTGTTTTTTGTTAGGGATCAAAAAGGGTCTTTACTCTTATTTATTTATTTAAATCTGGTTTCGTGTTTTTTTTTTTTTATATATACTTGAATCTGTAATTTGATTTTATTGTAACTAAAAATGATATTTTATCTTTAAGATTTTTTTTTTTGGAGTTGTTTTTTATGCCGTTTTTGGTCAAATTTCATTTCATTTTTTTTCAAAAGAAAAAACCGTTTTGAGCATCTTAGAAAAAACCAACCAACCACGTCAGTTTGAGTTGGTTAATAACGCTGCCAGTTACCCAAAATCCAAATCCTAATATACATTCCTAATTCATTTCATCCCCCATTCTCAATATGTACTCTAACAACATTCTCAAACATTTGTTTCCTGATTCTTTTTCATTATTGCTGCTTGATAATATGTATAAAGTTAATTGTTAAGTACGTAATATTTAAATTGGCTGATGGTGTAGTTATTTGTTCCTTTTGGTGATGCTTGTTGGGTAGTGGTTCTCTTAAATGCTCTACTGAGAATATAATGTGGGATGCCAATATTTTTAAACAGAAAAATATTTTTGCAATTACTGCAGATAAGTTATCTGTATTTACTCTCAAAAACGATGTCGTTTTAAGATTAAAATATTAAAAAATTATAATTATAAAGACTATAATAATCCTGAAATAAATTAAAATTACAAAAACACTATGATTTCCGCCCCAAAACGACGTCGTATTGGGCTTACTGCAGATAATTTATATGCAGTAACTGCAGAAAAAATGAACCCATTTTTCAAAGACAATAACGTTAAAGTGAATGAGTATTTGGATAGTGGTTCCATTGACTACTCTTCTGACATATAATGGGGGATACTGCATTTATAAAGACAATAACGCTCAAGTCAATGATAATTGGATACTGGTTCTGTTGACTACTCTTCTGACAATATAACGGGGGATGCCGCATTTATAAAGGCAATAACGCTTAAGTCAATGAGTAATTGGATAGTGATTTTGTTGACTATTCTTCTAACAATATAACAGGGGATGTCGCATTTATAAAGACAATAACGTTCAAGTCAATCAGTAATTGGATAGTGGTTCTGTTGAATGCTCTTCTGACAATACAATAGGGAATGCAATGCAATATTTATAAAGACGGTAACATTCAAGTCAATGAGTAATTGAGATCAGTGTTATGAAAACCGGATCAGGCTAAACTCCCAACTGGTCTGATCCATGGGAATAAGATTCAAACCTAGAACCTAAGGATTGAAATTCACAACCCTTACCACTAGACAAACTCTATCTAACGGTTATGGTGCTTCTAATTTAATATTTGTTAATACTATTATATATATTTAACTCAAACGATTCAATCAGAGATCCACTAGTTGAATCAATGACTCATTAATCCAGTACTCTAATTGAGTGAATGATCGATCCAAGTTTAAAAACATCAATTGAGACATAGTACATAATATAAAAAAAATTATACTTGATAGTTGTGAACCTATAGTTATAAGAGTGGGGGAATCTTAAGTTGCTTAAGATTCTTGAGAGGATCTTGGAGATAAGTGAGGATCCTATAAATAATTGCAGGCGATTACACCTCTAGATTGTATCTTGGATCCAATATTCTAACCCATAACAATTGCCTTTAGCTCGATACTATGCTTTGTTGGAGTGCCGAATTACAAGGGATCATTAACCCCAATTGGGTCTAGATCATTAACCCCAATGTGTCTTCAAGACTTAACGTTGGAGACTTCGATATCTTGGCTTAATATTTTTAAATATTCTAGATTTACTTCTCTCGGTTTGGTAATCACGTCTAATGTTTGCCCTTCTTCAGGGAGTACATTTGGAGTTTTGAAGTTTCGTTTCCTAACCAAGTTACAATGGGTATCACGATCGATGTTGTTATTGATGATCCTTGGCTGTATGAACCTATATTTGAGATGTTTCAGTTGAGTTGCCGATGTTGACTTCTTGGCTTGACATTTTGGGCCATCCCGAGTTTCCTATTTGGTCTTGTTGTTTAGGCCCAAAATGAGTCCTCCTTCAGGGGCTTTCGAAAAATCTTCATGCTTAAATCTTTGCCAAGTCGTAAGGGGTGACCTAATCAGTGTGGTCAAGGGTGTGCAAAAAAAATCAAAAAATTGAATTGAACTGTGAACTTAACTGAACTGCACTTAAAAAAAAACTGTTTTTAAAAATCAGTTCTTGAACTGAACTGCATTTTTTAATATTAGTTCTTAAACTAAACTTTTTATGAAAAAGCAGTTCATGAACTAAACTGATTTATGAACCGAACTAGTTTAAAAAACCATGAACCAAATTAGTTTTTTTTTCTTCTCTTATTTTCCTATTTATCTTTTTTCTTCCTTATTTTATCTTTATTTTTAGGCTTTAATGTTTCTATAGTAATGTAGATAAGTTATCTACATTCGCTCTCAAAACGACATCATTTTAGGTTGAAAAATAAAAAATTATAATGAAATAGACTATTATAACCCTGAAATAAATTATAATTACAAAAATATCTTGATTTCTGCCTCAAAACGACGTTATTTTGGGCTCAATGTGAATAAGTTATCTATATTGACTGTAAAAAAAAGTGAACTCTTATTTTTATTAATTTATTTCTTTAGTTTTATATTTTTTTTCTTTTATTTTATTTTTTATGTTATGTATTTCTATCTCTTATTTTTACTATATTTTATTTTTATTTTTATTTGTTTATTGCTTTTGTTTTTTTAAATTTGTGGTATTATTTATTTATTTTTTACTTTTTCCTTAATATTTTCATACTTTTCATTTGGGTTCAGAACTAGTTCAAAAATCAATTTTAAGGGTGTGGGAGGAAAGTGAGGGAGAAAAAAGATTTATTTTATTCCGCAAATATTCACCGTTGGATGAGATTATAATCAACAGTATTAAAAGGGCAGATAAAAGTAGGCAATATAAGGGTAGACAGAACAACCTATCCCAAGCAGTGATGGACCCAAAAAATTATATTTATGTCTGCACATTTAGTGGCGAAGGTTCAGGGGCAGCGCCCTCGAATTTTTTTTTTTAAAAGCTCTCGCCATGCACAGGATCCATGAAAGGATATATGGTAAATAACCTTATCTTACATTTGCAAAAGGTTAGATATAATAATTAAAAATGTGACTTTTGGGTACATGACCACAACACCAACGATTAAGACAAGAGAAAGTAACAACTTAGTAAATCTAAACTAATATAAGCAGTGGCACAAATAGAAGCACAACGATATTAATTTCAAGAATGTAGTATAACATATCTATTATTCAAACATACACGTTATAAGTAATTGAGAGACCGAACGCATTTGGTTGTTTATAAGTTGGCAACTCCAGAAATAAAATAGATCAATTTTTTAATACAAAAAAATAGTTACTTTTGCAAGTTTTTTTAATAGAAAAAAAGAGTTACTTTGTTTACCAAAAAAAAAAAAGAGTTACTTTTGCAAGGTAGTGTCTGCACTTATCCACATGGGCAATAGTGCAGGTCCGCCATTGATCCCAAAGTAGTTATTGAACGTAACTGTTTTTAAAAAATGGTTCTTGAATTGAAAAATCATTCATGAACTGAACCGGTTTTTTCTCTTCTTTTCATTTATTTTTATTTTTCTCTCTCAATTTCTCTTCATTTATTTATTTATTTACTGTTTTCTTATGTATTTTTACTTCTTTTTTTTTTATTGCTTTTCTTTAATTTTCAGTATCATTTACTTTTTTCCTCTAATCTTTTTTTTTGTAATTTTTATTTTGATTTAGAATTTATTTTAAAAACCAATTTAGAATTGAACCAAACTAAATTAATAAACCAATTCACTTCTAAGAAATAAATTATTTTTTTCGATTAAGTTCGGTTCGACAAAGAAAACCTAACCAAACTGAACCACGCACACCGGACATAATGGTTTGAGATGTTCATTTCTCATGTTGGATTGTTCCAATGGTGTCGTTTGATGTGTCTTGGTTAGACTTTTTGACATGATTGTTGCCTCTTTGTGTCTTTTGCAACTCGCAAGCAATACTTGGCCACTTTTAGGTGTCATAGAAGGAAAATAA